ACTTCACTCTCCCGACCCACAGGTTGATTACCCAGAGTGACAATTCATCTGGCTGCCTTCAGAATGCCAACGACTCTAGGCCACGATGCCATCTCTCTCCATAAACCATCCAAACCCCGCCCCTGAGCCTCTCTGAAGGGGGACAGAAGAACAGGTCCCTGACTGGACATCCAGGACACTCTCCCCTGCCCGGCACTGCAGCTTAAGCGGTCTCCCTTGGACCCCCAGCGAAGTCCTTCCCTCTCTGGGTTTCAGCTGCCTCACTGCAAAGGAGTGGAATTTCACCTGACGGTTTCTAGTGCCCTTTCCCTTTCAAACGTTATTCAATTTTTTAAGCATCTCTGATTTTTCAACAGGTAATACTAAGATCTTGGGTGCTAAAATGCTCCATCTATATTAAGCACTCTTAGATGCGACTGAAAATTGAATAGGGTGAGTTTCTGCATATGCATGCGTATTTCATGCACAAACATGTATATATAAATGTATGTATATATGTTTGCATGAGCACACACACTGACACTATTATGTACTTGTATGTGACTAATTGCTTTCAACTCAAAGCAGCATATTTTCAATTCTGCAACAGATGTCGCTGTGTGATTTCTCCTTTCTACGCTAGATTTTTAGTTAAAAATGTCCAGCATAATGGTCAGTATTATTCTTCCCCCCCAAAAAAGAGATATAGCATTTAAATCCTTCAGACTTATTTCTTATAAATTCTCTTTACATGCTGGTAAATTTCCATTCCAATCACAGCTTTGATTAGTTCAGGCCATTTTATGAACAACCCTTTCCCTCCCACATAAAACCAGGCCTTTTGTTGAATTAAACACTAATTTTTTTAATGCAAATTTTAAGTAACTGATTAGAAGACATCAAAATGTCAAATGACTCCTCCCCCAAAAAAAGACATCTATAATCATAGCAATATTACCCATTTTCAAAGCCTGAAAGCCATTTAGCAAGACAGATCCTGAAATAACACAAATGAACTTGTATGAGTCCAAAATGTACCAGGTGTAGGCAAAAGTCCCTAAAAAAAAAAAAAAAAAAAAAAAAAACCAAAAGCGCTTGAATGACAATGACAATTTTGGATTCTAGTTTCCCAAACGCTGCCTTCAAAATAAGAAAGGAAGACTGCTATTCTAATCACGAGACATCTTACCAAGCTATCCAGCACGTCCCAAGACGTGTCCTAGCAAAGGGACAGCAATTTCTCCTCAACCTCCAGCGACCATCCATCTCAACAGGTAGCTAAGCACTTTCTTCCACTGAAATTCCGGGCTGGGAGAAAGGATTTCGAAGCTCCCCGTTAGACTGAGGAAGCGGTTTACCTTCTGGGGGTGGAGAGGGAGCGGAGGAGCGAGGCAGGCGAGCGGGTCTGGAGCACACAGGAGTATGAGCCAGGAAGCGAGAGGGGCCGCGAAGGTGCCCAGCCTGTCCGCCTCTCCCCGGTCCCACTCCCCGCCACCAGGAGGGCCACTGGGGAGAGCTGGATAAGGCATGTACAACATCCATATGAATAAAGCTCTTTGTTCCGGAGAACTGCCTGCTCCTTTATTTCCCCCCCTTTTTTCCGTATTTGTTCATTTCAAAAGATCGCTCAATGGGTCTCTTGTTCCTCCAAAAACGTCCCAGGCAAATAATGCAAGCTTGTCTCATCACACCAGTCACTAAATGAAGCCTTGTGCGTCTCCAGTGACACACTGTAAATATAAAGTGGCATTAATGAGGGATATTTTATCAAAGCTATCACAGACAGTGCAAGTCTCTCCTGTGGCTATTCAGTGGGATGCTTCGGGGAAAGGCAACAATAGCAGGGGGTCGTTTGGTAAAACGCCTATCCCTGTTCTACAAGCCCCCCCCCCCCCCCGACCACCACCCGCAAAACTCAGCAGCCCCCCCACCCTTCCCCTCACCACCACCAACGCCCACCCTGCCATCCTCAGCCACGCGGACAAGGTAAGGAGGGCATCCGCTCGGATGCACTGGACAGTAACAAGTGTGATGGAGCCCGGGGTGTGAGCCTGGCCCCTTCCCTTCGCGGCATTATCATCCCTTAGATGCCAACACCACCGGGGAGGGTGGGCGGGGATGGATGGCTCCGGCCACAGAACCAGGACCTAAAGCATAATGGCCCTGCGAGGACGCTAGCCCGGGGAGGGTGGCCAGGAGACGAGCCTAATAAAGTCCGCAGGCTTTCCAACAGGTTTCCCAGAGCGCTGGGAGCGAGAGGCACAGGCCTGGCAGTGCTTAGAGGGCTAAAAGATAAATAAATAAAAAATAAAAAATCTCTGCTGCCTACCTAAAATAGATTCTCCCCAGCCCAGGGCACTGGGCAACAACGCCAAAGACCCCCTTCTGCAAACGATCACACACACATAGACACACACACACACACAGAGAGACACACGCAGGATGGATGCAAAGGGGGAAAAAAAAATACAGAAAAGGAAGCCATCTCAGCCCCTCCACTACAAATCAAGCCCAATTACTTTCTAATTTGAACACAATCTGATAACCAGCGTAGAAAAACGGGGCCGTACACAGGAGCCAGGCGCTGCTTCCATGGTAACTGGCAACAGAATTTTCTTGTCGCTTTGACATGCACGGTGGAGTTCCAGACCTGCTCCTTCCTAAGTCAGCCCCGGATCCCCGGATCCCCGGATCCCCGGATCCCCGGATCCCCGGCGGGGCTGGGCTGGCCTGGGCTGGGCTGGGCTGGGCTGGGCAGGGCTGGGCTGGGCAGGGCTGGGCTGGGCTGGGCTGGGCTGGGGGGCGGCAGCCTGGCCAGTCCCAGATGCTAGCGCGGAGCAGCAGCGGCTCCCGGGAGCCCGGCGAGCGGGCGGGCAGCGGCGCCCGGTGCCAGGCGCAAGGCAAGGAGCCCCTCCGGCGGCGCCCCCGCCCCGCCACCACCACCACCACCACCCGGGTCTTTCTTCCCGCGGCCAATCCAAGTCTATTGTGGCTTCCCTTCTGCGCCAGTTCCCAGCCTTTACTCCTCACGCTCACGTTTAAACACTGGCACTGGCGCTTTTTTTTTTTTTTTTTTACAATGCAGCAGCAGCAGCAGCAGCAGCACGAGGCACCGCTTTCGGGAACGTTTTATGGAGCCCATCCAGTCCCTGAGACATCGCCCGAAATGAAGTTGTAACCACACCGGCCTGGGCTGAACGCAATTATCTCGGAACTCGTAAATTAGGAATTCACAGGGGGGAGGGACACACACACACACACACCCGCACCCGCGCACACACACACACACATACGCGCGCGCGCACACGCACGCACACACACACACACACACACACATAAACAACAAGCGGCGGACAGACGGTGGCAGGAAAGGGGAAAGCAACAAACACATCGCGCCACCCACCCACCCACCCACCCACCGGGGCCGGGGAAGGCCAGCGGCCGCCGGCGCCGCCGCAGCCCGGGTGCCCGCGCCCGGGAGCCCGGGAGCCCGGCGTCCTCGCGGGCCTGCGGGGGACCGCGGGTGGGCGCCCACCCGGGCCGGCGGCCCTGCACATCCCCGCTTCCTACGGCGTGTCTCCTGCGGTGTTTACGTAACTGTGTGTCCTCCAGCGTGTAAACAAAAGGCACAGCCCGGGCGAGGGGCGCCCCGGGAGCGGCCCGGGGGGTCCCCGGCGCTGCTGGCCGCCCGGGCCCGGGTGGGCTCCGCAGGTGGGGGGGCTGCGCTCTCGCCGGCCTGCCGCCACTTGTTGCTCGCGGGTCCTGCAGCTCCCCGACGAGGAGGCGGTGGCGGGGGGCAGCGGGTGACAACCCCCGAGTCCTTTTTTTTTTTAATATATAAAAAAATTCTTTTTTTTTTTTTAATTATCATTCTATGTTCTGGGCAGGCTGCATCCCGCGTTCCCGCCGCGGCCGAGCCCAGCCCCGCCGCGGGCGCGCCCGGGGCGCGGAGCGACGCGCGCGGGCAGCGGCAGGGGCAGCGGCGGGGGGCAGCGGCGGGGGGCAGCGGCGGGGGGCAGCCCCGCCGGCCTCTCCGCCGCCGGGGAAGAGCTCGGGCCGCCTTTTGTTAGCGAAAGCAAACACTGCCCTCTTCTTTCCCGACCGCGCCAACGCGCCCGGCGCGCGGGCGGCCGCACGGCGTGCTCCTGCCGAGTGCTCGGCGGCTCCGGGCGCCGCCGGGCACGCCGGCGGGGCGGGGGGCGACCCCGAGGCCCGCAGCGCGGGGGGCCCTGCCGGCCGCAGAGGCCGCGCACGCTCGCTCTGCCGCTCCCACCGCCCCGGGGAGGGGGGAAGGGAGAAGGGGGGCCCCCGCGCCCCGCACGCCCCGCACGGCCCGCGGGCTGCGGGCTCCCCGGCTCCGGCGTCTCGGCCGTGCGCGGGGCCCGGGGAACTTTGCCCGGCGGGAGTGCGGCCGGGCAGCCCCGCAAAGCCGGCGGGGCGGGCGCGGGGGGCGCGCGGGGCGCGCGGAGGGCCGGGCGGAGCGCGGGCAGCGCGGGAGCCGGCGGGCAAGTCCGGGGATGTCCAGGGCAACCCGGGGAAAAGGCATCGACGCTGGAGGCGGCTGCCAGGCGGCCACCGGGAGGCCCGAGGACGCAGAACCGGGGCGGTGGTGGTGCTGGTGGGTGCTGCTGGCGGCGGCGGCGGCGGCGGCGGCGGCGGGGGTCGCCCGCTGGAGAGGGGGCGAGGGCAGCCCCCGGGGGCGCGGAGACCTGCAAGTTCCCGGGCACCGCGGCGAGTTTGGGAGGGCTCGGAGGGGCGCCGGCTGGGCACCCCGCGCCCGGGCGCGGAGCAGAGGGGCGGGTGCAGCCCTGCCCGCCCGCGGCTCCGCGCCCACCACCCCGCGGGCCCTGCCCGCCCTCGGGGCGCCGACTCCGCGCTCCGCAGCCCCGGGGCCGGGGCCAGTGGGCTGGGGGGGGGACGTTGTCATGGAAACGTTTCCCCCCGTCCGCGGCCGCGCTCCTGCGGGGGGCCGGGGCCCCGCTGCCGAGAGGGGCCCGGCCGGGCGGCGAGCCCACACCTACCTGTGGGGACGAGCGCCGCGGCGGAGAGGAGCAACAGCAGGAGCCGGAGCCGCAGCCCGGGAGGCGCCGCCGCCGCCGCCGCCGCCGCGCACTGGGATCCGCTCGGCAGCACCGCACTCGCCATGTCGGGCACCTGCCTCACACTGGCGGCGCTGGCTTCCTCCGGAGCCCGAGCGGACCGCTAATGAGATGCTAATGAGATGCGCCGGGGCGGGGCCACGCCCGGCCAATCGCCGCGCCGGGAGCCCGCCCCCGCCTCTCGGAGGGCTCGCCCCCTCCCTGGTCCCGCCCCCTGGCGCCGGCGTTCGGCGGCGCGCCCGCGCCCCCTGGGGGCGGGGCCGGGGCGGGGCGTATGCAAATCTGCCGATGCTCCGAGGCATCTTCGCGTGCCCGGGATCTCGGCTGAAAAGTGTGCTCCCGGGCGCCCGGCGTGCAGGGGGCTCCGGGCCGGGGGCGGGGCGGGTCTCGCTCCCCGGACGCCTTGATTCGGAGTGTTCCCGGCGATCGCTGGATCGGCCCGACCACTGGACGGAGGACAGTCAGTGTTCCCCTAGGAGGGGCTCCCCTGCCCGCTGCACCGGTGTCGGCGTCCGGCCTGAAAAACCAGACGTTGCAGATCGCTGTCACTCACCTTGCGCGCGAGGAAGCGATCCTGGGGAAGCCAGAGCCGTTCGGGAGTGAGGATGCAGGTCCCCGGATTGACAAAACAATCTGGGAGAAGTGCATGCGTGCTTGGCTCGTCCGGCCGAGCAGGAGAGCCCGCTCGAAAGCCTAGCGGCAGGCTTGCGCATCGTTGCGGCCGGCATGCGGGTGGGACTCTAGGATTTTCCGGCTGGTGTCTTGGCACTAGATTCTGGGGGCAAGGTAGCTCGAGGAGGCGGGTGAGCTGGGCTCCCTCAGCTTGCTGGAGGTCTCCTTCGCGCGTGTGTGTGTGTGTGTGTGTGTGTGTGTGTGTGTATACACCAATATATATCCATATACAGCATGTGTCATTGTGCATTAGACATTCAACAAAAATCCTATTCTACCGATGCCTCGGGGTGCGGGGTGCAAGAAGGGGGTGTAAAGATACTGTCTTCCCCAAGGGCTCAAACCCACGCCCCCCGCCCTGAGTCTTGGGGACCACCTCCATCCCCAGGCGGCTGAGACCAACAGGTGCCCCGAGAGTCCAGGAGAGGCTCTTGAGCTGAAGCGACTTGCTCCTCCGGACTCGCTCTCCCTCCCCCAATTTCCATCGCTTTCTTTTCAACCCGGCAGCCGGCCCTCTTGTTGGTCTGCTTTTTAATTACTTATTTTCTTCCCCTCTAGAAGATCGCGTGTGCTCTGACCCTCTGTTGCTCAAGCATCAAATTGAAGGACGAGCCATATTAAGTGTAAAGGTTTATAATAATTTAAGTATTCATAGAATGCAGAACAATAAGATGTAGGAAATACAATTTGCATAATAAATATCAATATCACAACAGCTAAAACAAACCGTGACAAATTATCTGTGGCTAAATGACCAAGAGATGACTGAAAGTAAATTGCTGAATCCGAGCTATATTCTCGAAGAGCTTCGGCAGATGAGTTGACCGGCCTTCTGTGCTGGCTCGTCTCGCTAAAAAACAATAAATAAATGTTACATATCAAAAAGGAAGTCAAGAGCTGCCAACCCACCAAATGAGTTACACTTAAAAACCAGCCTTCTATTATCCATTATGCATAAACTAATTTCAAGACTGCCCTGTCTTCACTGGCCTGGATATTCTGCTCTGTAATTACAGGCCCCAACGCATGAACTGCCGGCAGTCCTCCAGGAGTCTGGGAAGCTCCAGCCGGCTCACAGCACCCCACGAGGCAGGAAAGCCATCACCACATGGCCACCAGGAGAGCGTCCAGTCTGCAAAGTCCTGCATATTATCCTTTCTATGAGTACAGCTGCCTGGATTTGCCCAAATGTGTAGCAGGGTCCCACCAAAATCCAGGTAAAAATATCGCAGGTGTATAGATAGATAAATAAATACATATGTGTGTGTGTGTTTTGTGTGTCTGTGTGTGTGTGTAAATTCAAAGGTCAGATCCTTTATGCCAGGAATTCTAGCCGCCTACCAGAATCAAGCACATAGTAACAGAAATATTTGCTATTATTGATTCTCACTAATTTTGCATTTAGTGAGCTATTATTTTGCACACATAATCTCACTGAATCCTTGGAATGTGTTTCCCAGAGCACTTATTATTTTCTCCCATCTTATTATTTTTTAAATGTAGTTAGAAGAATTATGTAATTGCCCACTCCCATCCCCAGGTCAAAGTTTCTAAGGCTACAAGACAGAACTTATGCAATTATCCACTATGCTATTCTGTGCCTTATATATATTGAATTTTGGGGCCACGTCTGTGATGCTCTGTGTTTATTCCTGGCACTGCCCTCAGGGATCACTCCTGGCAGGCATGGGGACCATCTGGGCTACCAGGAATTGAACCCTGGTGGGCCGCTTGCAAGGCAAACACCCTGCCTGCTGTACTATCTCTCCGCCCTAAAAAAAATTTTTTTTCTTCTTAACAGAATGAATAAATTTCACATTCCACTCCATGAATAATAAGCAGAGGAGAGCTACCTTTTTAACATAAGGTAAAATATATATATATATTTATATATATATATATGCCAGCAACTCAGAAACGGTTTTAAAATAACAAGATAGAATTATATTCCTAAGGAAAAGCAATCCTCGGGAGACTGCATCTCTCATGGAATCTGGTCGGACCCCAGTACTCCCACACTAGGAACACAGTATGGGGACATTGGAAGATGCGTCGTGTTTTCTCTCCCTTCTTTCTCTTGGCACATCAAATGAACACCTACTCAAATTTCCAGTTGGCAATGAGCAACTTGGGACATTGCAGTAGGAAATGCTAATGCCGGATGAGTTACCTCTCCAGAAGTATGCAGAGAGCTTGAGAAGTTTCCACCCAAACTTGCCACCTGCACCGTTCGTTGAAGCAACTCACACACCCAAATGCCAGGTCAGAAGACAGCAGGAACGGGAGGTCTGCGATGGAGAGAACCCATCTGAAATTGGAGGATGGAGCTTTTGCCACCCCCTCAACTAGCCCCACTCCTCTCCCACCCCCAGCTCTTTCACACTGAAGAGCTCGCCAAGCAATCGAACATATGGAACATGTGAAGAACGTATCAATTCCCCGCTGCCGCTAAATACAAGTTATGACTACGCTGGCTTCCTTGTAGTAAAGCTCGTCATTTTCTGCTTCGTGGACTAGAACGCCTCACCCATGCCAAGTTCCAACATTTTCTTTCCCCTTGCTACATGGATCTAACCAATTTTGAAAACCAGATGGTGTTTTTGCCATTTATAACTGATAATCAATTGTTTTGTGAATTTAATTTTTCAAGAAAGAACTGAAATACTTATCAGAATTACAATCTGGGCGCTACTTGTGTTAGAAAAAAAAATTGCCAGAAACACCAAGCTCCCTGTTTTGTTTTTTTTCCCCCCTTCTGAGAAAACTTAAACAGTGAGAGGAAGAGAGACCCGATATTGTTTGCCTTCATGAAAACAGTTGAGAAAAAAAATGGGTAAACATAAATGAAAAGTAAGCATTAAAGGGCTACTCGCTTTCTGGGCAATACTGCAGAGATAATCAATGAGAACCAGTAACATTTTGCTTTCTAAAATGTGAATTATTGGACCAAGTGTTGGTTCAAAGGACTGGAGGACATGCTTTGCATGCAAAATCCCAGGTTCAATCCCTGGCACTATGGAATTTCCCCAAGTGGCTCCGAAACAAAAACAGAAAATAAAATGCAAATTATTTGAGTATCCATGAATGCAAAACAATAAAAACAAATTCTTAGGAAGAAACAAACAGTATTTGGAATTTATACTCACTTTGCTATTGAATTATTTGCATCCCCATAGGAAAATAGAGCCAACTGGTTTATGGTTGAATGTTGTACCCCAGCCACCAAATTCATAGGCTTAAACCCTAACTCCTGAGTATGGTGATATTTAGGGGTGTGGTCGTTGGTGGGGAATTAGATTCAAATAAGGTCACGATGGTAGGACCACTCTGCTAGAATTCTCTCACATGCAGGCCCTGAATTCACAGCATAAAGGTGGCCAGCTACAAGCTAGAGGAGGTCTTTGACCAAAACCCGACCATTGTTGGCACCCTGATCTTGGACTTTAAGCTTCCAGAACTGAGAGAAAATAAATGTCTGCGATTCAAGCTATGCGCTCGACTATATTTTGTTACAGTAACCCAAACAGACCGAAATAATCCCAAAACATCAGCTTCCCTTGTCAAAGGTATATCAAAATTATATTCACGTCAGCTTTGTAGAGAAATCTTCTATGAATTAAAGCAACTTAGCCATCTGTTAGGCTATTGGACTGGACAGACTCTAGGTCTTTCTACTAGACAGCTCATCTATACTTAGATTAAGACTCAGCAGCTCTTCTTGGGGTGCATCAGCCTAAGAATCTTTATGAATTATAAAGCCAGTCAAATCCATATTCCTAAATGAGTAATTAAATACTCTCCACAGGTCTATTAGTCTACAATCACTGTGTTGACAGTAAATTCTTGGATATCAAGAGTAGAACAGGGCTGGAGCGATAGCAGAGGGGGGTAGGGCGTTTGCCTTGCATGCGGCCGACCTGGGTTCGATTCCCATCATCCCATATGGTCCCCCGAGCACTGCCAGGAGTAATTCCTGAATGCAGAGCCAGGAGTAACCCCTATATATCACCAGTTGTGACCCCAAAAGAAAAAAAAAATAAATAGAATATCAGGTGGAAGGGAAGGGAAGGCAAGCACAGACTTAGACTGAAGAAAATTACATATAAGCCGGGTCATGAAGCACCCCGCCCCTCACTTCCACAAAAGGAAAATTGCCATAGGAACCCAAGTCATATTTTGTTTTGACCAGCTACCAAGGAATAAATGCATGTGTATACAGCTGATACAATTACATAGTAAATAAAAGCAAAAAGAAAAATCCTACAGTGCCACCAGATGGAATGGTTTCTATTAAGTTTGGGGTACACAAAGGCGGAATGAGAAACTCCATTTGAGGGACTTGGAGTGTAATAGGGAAGGCTGATGGTACCTGGCAACTGTTACAGGTACTAGATGCTTATATCCTATGGGCA